TTGGAGTGAGGAGCCTTGTTTTGTTTAATAAGGCTTTATTGGGCAAGTGGTTGTGGCGATTTGGAGTGGAGAGGGAGAGCTTTTGGAGAGAAATCATTGGGGTAAAGTATGGTGTGATGGAGGGGGGTTGGTGTACGATTGAGGATCGTGGCTCCTATGGGGTGAGTTTGTGGAGGTATATCCGACGGGGATGGAGTGATTTTAGGGAGAAACTAAATTTTGTGGTGGGAAATGGCACTGATATTAGATTTTGGGATAATAGTTGGTGTAGTGATCAACCGTTAAAGGAGGGATTTCCTTTATTGTATCGCATTGCGTTAGAGTCTGCTGCTATGGTGGGTGATGTATTAGACATTCATAATGGGGGCTATAGTTGGAATATTACTTTTGGGAGGAGTTTACAGGATTGGAAATTGGAAGATTATTCGTTGTTTTTGACCACTCTGCATGAGATACAAATTCGGGTAGGAGAGGGTGATTGGAGCAGGTGGAGGTTGGCTCGAGATGGTATTTTTTCAGTCCGCTTATACTTTCAATCCCTTTTGGGATTTGTGGGAAGTTCATTACTTTGGAAGATGGTGTGGCAAAGCAAATTGCCTTCACGGGTAGCATTTTTATTGTGGACAGTTATGAGGGGGCAGGTGTCAACGGTGGATAATCTTCGACGAAAAGGATTTTATGTAACCGAGTGGTGCTATATGTGCAAGAAGGATGGATAGATAATTGATCATTTATTCATTCATTGTGATGGTGTACGTTGGCTTTGAAACAGTATTCTGGCTTCTCAATCAATGGATTGGGTGCTATCTAAGCGTATAGAAGATGTGGTTCGGGCATGAAGGAGAAAACTTCGCGATAAGGATAGCAAATTTCTCTGGAATCTTATCCTGGGATGCATTGTATGGTGCATATGGAGAGAACGAAATGATCGATGTTTCGAAGACCAAACAAAGACAACAGAGCAGATAAGAGAATTATTTTATTTGACTTTGTATACTTGGTTTAATGCAGTGGCTAAAAATCCTGTTGTAGGGTTGCCTAATTTCATGTTGTTCCTTTCATGCCTAAAGTGATTATATACCTCCCGTGTATTCTCTTTTAAGGAATAAAATTCTCTGATTACCTATAAAAAAGAAAAAAAAAACTTGGGTATTCATCAGGTTACATTAAATTTCATATATTGTTTTTTTCCGTACATACCTAGGCACTTGAGCCATAGTTGAGAGCCTTCTTCAGTTCATTGTCGCAGGAAGTATCTTTTTAGGATGTTGCCTTTTCATTTTTTCCTTAATATCTTTAACTTTTCTTGGGTGAGGCTTTGGCTATTTTGATTGTTTGAAATGCTTTTTTGTGCAAAATTTACTCATAGCTGTGGATCTTAAAAAGGTACGGACAATGCGTTGTGAAGATCACTTTGAAATGAGGGAATACAATATTGATGTGCTCAAAGACGAAGGAGATTCATCTTTGTGTTCAAAAGGGAGGCCTTATCCAATATATCCTTCGAAAAAAGGACTAACCCCAGATCTTCTTCGGGATATCATTTCAAGGTCTGTATTCTGAAACTTGGTCTCATTGGTAAACTAATTCGTAGTGGACTGAGGCTGCTATTTCACTACCCTTTTCTTCTCCTTTTCCTTTTCCTTGTTCTTGTTCCTCTCTCTCTCTCATGGTTCACATTTTTCATCTTGTTAGATAAAAATGTTCACCTGTCATGCTACAAAAACCAGGCCATGTCTGCCTTGTACCATGGCTACTGTATCCAAGTTGATAATTAGTCCCTTTAGTATTAAATTTGCACATCGTGTATAGGTCTGCATCTCTTCATCACTGCAAGTAAAATATTCTTTATTAGTAATCTTGAATTGTTAACCTCTTTGTTTGTCAACAAATAATGGCAGTAAACAATTTTAAGTTCATAACTTTTCCTTTCTTTTCTTTCCTTTCCTTTTTTTCCTTTTTACTTTTTCGAGAGTGGATTGTTTACCATGATTTATATTTTTCTCATCCTCATTACATTTTTCATTCTGTCAACACAGGGTCATAGGTATCCAGTCTTATATTTAAAAGACGAATAATTAAACAGATTTGGCCTCTGTTGTTTTAACAAGTAATAGTATGTGGGAGAGAGTTTCAAGATTGCATTAATGTACTTCTGCAAGCTGCTTATTATTTTAGGACTTATCAAAAGGAAAGGCAGCGCATCTAATTTGTGATCCTGTCCACAAATTAAATTGTATTATAGGAATGAGGCATTTACCGATGCATGGAAAGTTGAACACCTAAGACTGTTTTAGGTAGAATTGAAGATTTAACTTGTCTTGTTTCTTGTAAAAGGTAAAAAGAGGATAAGTTAGATCATGTTCTACTTCCATCATTTTATTGAATTTCTGTCTGGTCAGTCTACTGGCGTCAAATGGTGTGTGTGGCATTGCCATGTATTAATGTACCGTTATATATCTTTTATTGCTTCATTTAGATGGTAAATTTGGCATACATGACGTGTTTCATTGTATTTTTTCTGCACATCTCTCTCTCTCTTTCATTTTATCGTATGTTTGTGCAAGTAATAAGAAGTTCCATGTCATTAACTCAATCTATTCTTAGAAAACATATTCTATTACCTTCATTGATAACAGCGAAACTCTCTAATGCGTGTGATTCGACATTTTTCAGAGCTCTAAAGATGCTGCCAGACAATCTTGACCCTATACCTAAAGATGTCACTCAGGATTTTGGACTTCTGTGTCTTTCAGATGTAAGTAAACTGGCTTTGAACCGTGGTAAGGTTTATCATATAATATTTTCTTTCTTAGTCTTTCCTTTCTTTCGTTTGGAGCAATTACTGCTATCTTTCTTTGATCTATTTTAGTTGCCCTGATATTAATTTTTATTGTTTTCGAAGGGGCCTACATAAAGAAATAACCATCGATTTTTCCTTTGTATTAGTGGTGGATTCTTCAGAATTTAAAAGGACTTTGGAGAATTCTATAATAGTACTCTTCAATAAAATTGTTTAAAGTAGTCAAATTGAGACATTCTTATGTAGGAAATGGAAAAGGCTCATATTCAAAATGGATGGGTAAAAGTATTTTGCTCTAGTATAGAACAAAGGGGAAGAATCAACTATGACTAAAGAAATGCTCTTAGATGATATAGATAACAGAGTTCCCTTCCTTTTTCAATTATTTGTCCATTTATAAAGGAAAAGAAGCTCGTGCATTCCTCTTTGCCTTATAATGGTTAACAAGTACCAGTACTTGAAAGAAACAGGAAGAACGTACTAATGCTTTCCCAAATAATGAGTCTAGTTCTTGAATTTTTTGCTTTTCCAGTTTCTATCCATCCAGTTTGAACATGACCATTTTTATTTTCCAGATTAATTAATCAAAATGCACATATTTTTATTTCAACATTGACTTACTGCGCTAAACAAATAATCAAGGCATTTACCTTTTTAATTTAAAACATGTCTAGATTCAGATAATAGCATTTGTTATGATGTCATGAACATGTAATATTTGGAAATAAAAAAGTATAATTAATGTTTACATAGTTATCCATGAATTTGTTTTTCCATTAGGGACATGCTTCGATTGATTAGATCTTTTATTGGTTCTTTCTCTCCTCATTTGGGCATCTGGTAGAGTAGCTACAGTTATGAAGTTGCTTCCCGACTTTTTACTTTCAAATTGCACCTCAATTTATAAGATTATATGAGATAATTGAGTCAAAGGAATGTAACAATCACCGTATCACCCAGGATTATCTTATATAACATTGCAATTTTGTAACTTCCAGCCGCTTGTTTGTATTATACCAAAACTCGTAATGAAGGTTTTGTGAATATTCATACTCCTTCATGTTCATTTATGGGCAGAAATATGAGTGTTTCTTGGGTCAAAATGCAGGCATATATTGGCATTCACCAGCCAAAAAATTTAAACGAGACCGAGTTAGCTCGAAAGAGGCTTATATTTGATGAGTTCTTTTATCTTCAGGTAACGATGGCATATGCTTGTTTTTTCCTTTCATTCCTTGCACCCTGTTGCTTTATTCCTCTTTTTACCTTTCTTTTAAATTTAAGGTCCTAATTATGAGAATTTTTTAGCTGAATTCCTTTTTCTTTGGCACACTGAGATATTGTTAATACCTCTGTCTTACTTCTTCCTTCCTATTCCTTGACCCACAGTTAATCTGAGTTCCACTTCTACAACCTATCAAAGCTCTCTTCTCTCTCTTCATCTCGACATCTTGTTAATGACCTTGATTTTTGTGCTCTGTTATATTTTCTTCATCAATTCCATATTGGCATAGGAACACACATCCAGATAGAACCAAACCTGACAAAATAATTAAACTACAGCAGGAACTAATTGTCTCTCTATAGTTCTTGATATTCAGTGCATTAAAGGCTGTTAAATCTCATAGACTCATAATTATTCCAGATAAGGAAGTGAAGTCTGTACAAAGGGATGCCTATATTAACTAATGCTACTTAAGTAAATATCCAAATATTAAATCTTTGAATAGCATAATCAATTAAGTATAGTCTATCCTATTCCTTGGTGTTCCCCTCTTTAAAATCTTAGGGATTGGATACATTTTGTTATTTGTTTTCTTGGGGTCCAAAAGAACCCTTTTTCTGAACCTTCTTTTGGGGATATTTATTTTATTTTACTACTTCGCTGGGGTAAACTAAGTATATTCACTTTAAATGGAGGAAGAGACTTGGCGAAAGAGATTAGAAATTAGTTCAACAAGCTAGATTGCTAATACCTCACGTTCTTAGGTACAAAAACTGTATTCTTCTTCTAAAAATTGTCAAGTACAAAGATTATTTCTTCCCTTTAATATCAATATATGGGGCACTTGATTTGCAAAGATAGCAGTAGATGGTGTTTTACACTGTGCTAAGCTGACTAAATGTTTACCTAGACTTAGGCTTTTCTTTCACAGATAACTTTTCCCTTGTCCTAAAGACTACTAATTTCTGCGTGAAAGCTGTTCATTGAATTAATTTAATGCATTCAATGGAAGCCTATTTACGATTGAATTTCCGAGGTGCAAATGATATACATCATTTTTTCTCCGGGAACTTGTTTATCAGACTATTATAATTTCTTCCTTCTCAGTTATTTTCTTCCTTTTCAGTTGGGAAAGTTATTTCAAATGCTTGAGGGTCTTGATACGAAGATAGAGAAGGACGGGTTACTTGATAAGTATAGGAAGCCTGAGTTGAACTCGAAGTTTATGGAAGAATGGTCTTGTATGACCAAAAAATTCGTGAATGCTCTTCCATATTCCCTCACTCCCAGTCAGCTGAGTGCCACTTCAGAAATCATTTGGGATCTAAAGCGACCGGTTCCAATGAATCGATTGTTACAGGTCTTGTACTTCTTTTTTCTTGTACTTTATTTTATTACTTACTTTCATTTGTGTTAAATGCTATATCTAGAATTGAAAGTAGAAAAGTTATTCCAAAATTTCAATTTCCTTTCAGCAACTACATTGTACTTCCCATTGCACTTTCCTTATTTAAAAGAAAAGGTTCTCTTTACCTAGACATATTTGTATATTTCATGGAGTTCAAGTATCCTTTTTTCTAGATAATGGAGCTACTGAGTGACGGATATTTCATTATCTATCATTTCCTTTGGGGAAAACCATTTGGAAGACAGTGTCTTTCTGGTTTAAATTGAGGTTAGATGATTTTTATTATGTGGCCTGAGTTTGTTATAGTAATGCTGTGAAAGTCATAATTTACTAGGGGCATTCTAGTTTTCTATCATGATTCTCTCCTCATTGTAATATATCCAGAAAGTATATTGAATTATGTGGAGACTGCAATTTCTCTTAGAATAGGGGTTTTTGTTTGTTTTAGATTCTCATAGCCATATTAATATCCTTATTCTAATTTCAATAATCGGGTGAATGAAATTCCGATTTCTCAACATAGTGGCAGAGCATTGAGGGTCTTTGTTCTGGAGTTTTTCTGGTCTGTTCTTGCGGGAATCTGGTGGCCTGCATCGCCTTCTGTTCTTGCTTCGTTGTTGAATCTTTTCCTCCTAATTTTTCCTGCCGGTCAATTTCTCCTAATTTTTCCTGCGAAATGGCCTCATTTTCTACTGTCTTCTCTTAGATTTCTAGACTTCAGTTCCCAGAATTGATTTCCAGTCTCCCTTCCTCAAGCCCTTGTAACCATTTATGACTTTTGTCTGGAATCAGGGCCCATTCATCTTCTTCATAGTAAATATCCAACCTGAAACCCTGACTTCTCTTTTTCCTACTTAAAACCCTTGCTTCCAGATCATGACCAGTAAACTTAATGGCCAAAATTTTCAAGAGTCGTCTTAATCCGCCAGGTAATTCATCAAAAGAAAGAGGAAGACAGGAACATTTCATGGTTATATTTTGGCTCCTTCGCCCTATACAACTGTAATCAATTAACGACTTCTTCTTTCAAGAGCTACGGTGATTTGGGTGCTTTATTTGTCCAACGTAGAGATATAAGAATAAGTGTATGACTTAATGAATCATATTACTCTTAAGAAGCAAAATCATTATCTGTGACCAAGTATTACAACACTTTGGAAACATTGTGGCCGGAATTGAACCACCATACAAAAATGTTGATAGAATCCGTTACTGACGTGCCTTTGAAGGTGAAGGGATTTTTCCATCATTAGCGGCTTTAAATTCTGAAGTCTGAACTAGATCAAGTTATGGTGCAAGTTCTGTCCAAAAAACCTTTCTCATTATCAGAAGAGGTGATTGCCTACATAGGTGCAAAAGAAAGCTGTCAGATTGTTATGTTGAAAAATCACCAATTAAAACTTTGCTTGAGTAATTCACTTTGCTCGAATATTTCCCATGTCTAATAACTATTTTACAGTCGAGAAGCAAGAAGGGGATTGATTGGAAAAAGACACAAGGTGGTGCTATTTCGCAATAAAACCTAGATACACATAGGAGATGTGTTGGAAGCTTCATGGACAGCCATCTTAGGGGACACACCAAAAAGGGGAAAAAAAAATGTTGGGATAGGGGATAAATCTGGAGAAATATTTTTAAGGAGTTCATAGTAAGTAGAAATAAGATTGAATACATAAAATATGCTTTTATTCATGTTTTATCCATTCAGATAAGGATGATTCTAGATTCGAAATAAAGAATCGAAAGAGAACCTAGATTTGATTATTAATAATGATAATGATAATGATTTAATGTATAGTACAGATTCGACAAGAAATTTTTCTGTACCAGGCCATGTTAGAACTAATAGGTGGAAACAATTGAGATTAGATTAAAGGAAGAACAACTTAGATGATTGGATGTATCTTGCTTAGACCCAAATAAGCTTCCATTCATAAATGATGCAATCCCAATAGTGTAGAACATGTTAGAAAAAGGGAGGTTGACCAAAATTAACATGTATGGGGGTATTAGAAAATAACCATAGTTTCGATGGATCATTAAGATTGGTTTATTCGTCTGAATGACTTGGAAGTTTATCTCAAAATGAAGCTTAGCTTGTATAATGTGTTGAGAAATGATAGTTAGTTTACTGAAAAGGACCATATGTTTGCTAATATTTCCACTGTTAATATACATTTGTACACACTCCACCCCAAAATCCTTGTCTCGATTTGGCTTTGGTTGATTAATTTGTTACGGATTGGAAAGTTATGTATTTTTTATGACTTCATGATTTTTATGTTAATCAATATTCCTGTTATACGATGTAGGCACCAAAGTGTTTATATGCCTTCTCAGTTCTGACAGTTCATGGAACATTATGCATTATACCAATTGCATGATATTTGAAGCAATTCTGGTGAATAGTCATCTATATTCAACAATATGCAAATCATTGTATCTGATCTGTTGCTCAAGCAATGTCAACGCTTGTACTTCCACCTTCACTGGATATATTATTTCGTTGATTTAGAGTCACTATCTGTTGAAATACTAGGAAACTTTTCCTGCTGCTCATTTTTCTATTTGCTTCTTATCAGGGTGATGTTGGATGTGGAAAGACTGTGGTAGCATTCCTAGCATGCATGGAGGTAATTGGCTCAGACTATCAGGTAACGTATTATTATTATAATTCTTAGAAGTTGTAATCTTATACTTTATATATTTGGACTGAATTGTTTTCTTTCGTCTTCAGGCAGCTTTTATGGTTCCAACTGAGCTGCTAGCAGTGCAGCATTATGAGAACCTTCTTCAATTGCTTGAGAAAATGGAAGACATCTATAACAAACCTTCTGTTGCTCTGTTGACAGGATCAACCCCAACAAAACAAGCACAGTTTATTCGTAAAGTAGGAATTTCTGTAAATTACATGGGCTGTAAACTGGATTATCTTTAATTCCTGATATACCATTATAGCTTATGCTAGCTACAATTCTTCAATAGGGTCTCCAAGCTGGAGATATCTCGCTAGTCATTGGAACTCACACTTTAATAGCTGAAAAGGTGGAGTTTTCAGCTTTACGCATTGCAATTGTAGATGAACAACATCGTTTTGGTGTTGTCCAAAGAGGACGTTTCAATAGCAAGGTATCTCTTCATTTTTGCTAGCTTGTGCTGATATCATATTGATATATTGTCTGGACATTTGTATATGCCGAAGAGTTGTGACTCTAGTGTAGCGTGCTCAATTTTGTAGTAATGAGAACTTTGCCCTTGACCGTGTGGCTCAAGTTTATTACTGATTGGTAACAATATTCAATTTTTGCAAATGAATTAACTGTTCTAGCCTTCTAGGAGATGAGGTTGATACTAAAGCTGCTGCATAAACTTCTGTTTGTTATCGAATCAAGTTTTTATTGGAAATAATACATTCTGGGAATACCTTTCATGCGATCTATGTATTAAAATAAACTATGATCAATATTTGAGAATGAAAAATATCATCAAAATAATAATCTTTTTATTTTCCAAACCTTTTTGGGGAAAACCATATATTTTCATTTACTTTTCATTGGAGGCGAGTTTATTTCAATTCATTCTTGAATTATAGTTCACTTAGGAGGTTTAAAATTAAGATTAAATTTCTTTTACCGTGTTTCCCAGATGCTAATTCTCCCGTCCCCTTTTTCTATTATGTCTTTTAAGGTCCTTTGACAGCCATAGAATAATTCTCTGTTTAATCAGCTCCTAATCAATAGTCTTTAGCAGAGTGACGCAGCTTTGTATATAATACTTGCTTTGAAGTGTCCTCTGTTTTTAAGTTCTTTCTTCCTATGTAATAGAATTAGTAGAATTTGCTTAGGTCATTTGCATTGGCATTTTAAATGCATTTTTTTAATGGTAGTTCCTCTAGTTTCTTCTCTTAGCAAGTTATTAAGTTGTGATGGGAAACTCCACGGTTTTATTTTCCTGTGATTGTTGCAGTTATATTTCAACTCCATAAGTTCCAAACTGGCCTCAACTAGTTCAAAGGATTCACAGAAAAGTGACACTGTCATGGCTCCTCATGTTCTGGCAATGTCAGCCACACCAATTCCTAGAACACTTGCACTGGCTTTGTATGGGGACATGTCACTGACACAAGTATGTACGCTCTTTTTAGTTTCTTTCCATTACTAACGTGCTATTGCGATATTTCATAATACTTGTAAACCTGCAGGCTATATTTTCTCTGAGAATATTTCCATGTTTATCCTTGTTATGGGATTAACATAGAACTAAGTAAAACATTGATTCCCATTCTTTATACCACTTGGACGGCTAGTGTTCCATATTTTTTTGTCTAAGCTTTGAAACGACACCTTGGTGTCTAAAAAGGTCATTAATTTTTTTTCCTAAAAGTTTCATGGGACGTGGATAAGTGTTTTTTCTCTTTTTTATTTGGTGTTGGTTGGAGATGGGAGTTGGCAGGAATTCTTGTATTTCTTGGTTCTACTCTTCAAATTTCCAATTAGAAGTTCCTCATTTGCATGGTTCATCTTTTTACCCTTTTTTTTGGCAATTCCATCTAACTTCGGTAGATCAAAGAGAGGGTCTCAAGCCATATAATATGATTCAGTGATTTATTTGCATTAGGAAATAGCAGCTGATTGTATACTAAATAGTTTTGACGGAAAATTAATTAATTAAATAAATATTAGGCTTCTTTTATAAGCTCATGGGTATATAATTATGTGTTTCTCCAGACCACTAAATCTGAATTTTCAAAAGCACTTCCAAGACAGTCTTCTACATTTTCATTTCTACTCAATTTTAATGTAATTATAACTATGCAATTTCTAGTGTTATTCATTGGTTATATCTACGGAAATAAAGTGTTGGAGAATTTGTGTATATAGTTAAACAAACATGATCATTTTACTCTGTAGCATCTTCAATCTTCTTGTGTAATTGAATTTCGAAGGTTTAGTTTTTGCATCCATTGGACTTTTTAGTGGTTGAGGTAATTACTAAATATCGACTTGTTTGATTGCTTTAAATTTAAACAATGTGTTTCATTAAAACTTTTGTATAGTTTGTACATGACTTTGTGCAAATAAATATGAAACAAAAGATCCCATGTATTTGTGTTTTGTTAAAAAACTTCGTGTAATTACTGAAATCTTAGATTTACTTTTGGTTGTCGTTAAATGTCTATTTGTAGCAGTTTTACTACAGATCACATCAATCTTTTTCTTTCTTACTTTTGTTTTTCTCCTCTAGTTATCTTTGCGTACGGAAGGTCATTTTCTAATTTGGCACTAGTAAGAAAGGTGTTAGCTTATGTCTAATGTTTTCATTTGACAAGAAAATGGAAGGCATTGCAAGAAAATTTTGTTGGGGGTCAAAGTTGGAAGAAACGGTGCAATTAATATGTGGGTACTATTTTTCTGGGAGGTCCTTTGAGAAGCAGCATATAATTATCCCTAATAATTTTATAAAACCTAGTTGTCTATGAGTGTGTATAATAGGACTCTTATTTTTCATTTTTGTAATTTTGACCTGGCTAGTATGATACTCAAGAGTTTTCATTTATGTCAGAGTAATTCTTGATATTATGCACATTGCATTGTTTATGGTTAAACATTACATTATTTCTTGTATTGAACCTTTTGGGAAACTTCTTGAAATGACAGATCACCGATTTACCTCCTGGAAGAACACCAGTTGAAACATACATCATTGAGGGAAATGAAACTGGATTTGAGAAGATATACCAGGTAATATCTTTCATTACCAAATGTAACAGTCACCAGTTAATTAGTAATTGAAACGCCCACTTGCCTCGGAGGAATATCAGTATTTGCTGTGTAAGTTGTTGATTAGGGCCAGATGTGCTGCAGTCCTCGTCGTCAAAAGATTTCAATAACATCTTAATAAAACACTTAAATTAAATAATTTCATATGAATCAATGTTAAAAAGATAACAAAGCTATATCGAAAATTCCACGCCATAATTGTTTAGTTTGATTTATGCTGGTAGCAGTGATACATACTTCGGTGTGGCATTTGATAAGTCTTGAGCGGATTATGAAATTACTGTGTGAATGCCAACTGCCATTATAACATCTAATTATAAAATAGATTTTGCTCAAATATGATTAAAAATATGGAGTTTTTTAGTTAATTATGTCTCCCATTTCTGGAAAACTCAAGACGAGCACTACTTTTTTGCTAGTTATCCCAAACATAATCAATGGATAAAGTTGTTAACCTCTTTCATCTTTCAAGCATCTGTGGATTAAATTATATCTATTTGAATATGCTCGCGTCATCAAATATCAAATATGAGACCTTTTTTTTTTTTTTTTTTTTTTGATATTTTTTTACAAAAAATTTTTTTTATAATTTTTTTTTTTTTTTTTTGAAAGGTAGAAAATCTTGTATATAATCAAAGTAAACTTTGAAAGCTTTTACTGTTGCAGATGATGGAGGAAGAGTTGGGAGGAGGAGGAAAAGTATATCTTGTGTATCCAGTCATCGAGCAATCCGAGCAACTGCCTCAGCTTCGTGCTGCTTCAGCTGATCTTGAAACTATCTCTGGAAGGTTTCCAAGTTATAATTGTGGATTATTACATGGGAAAATGAAAAGTGATGAGAAGGATGAAGCATTGAGGCGGTTTAGGGCTGGAGACACAAATATACTGCTCTCTACACAGGTGATTGAGATTGGGGTTGACATACCAGACGCGTCTATGATGGTTGTGATGAATGCAGAGAGATTTGGAATTGCGCAATTGCACCAACTTCGAGGTCGGGTTGGACGTGGAGAAAGGAAGTCTAAGTGTATATTATCAGCATCTACAACCACTAGCCTAAACCGGCTGAAAGTGCTTGGGAAATCATCAGATGGATTTTACCTTGCAAACATGGACCTTCTACTGCGTGGGCCTGGTGATTTGCTTGGTAAGAAACAGTCGGGACACCTTCCTGAGTTTCCCATAGCGAGGTTAGAGATTGATGGAAATATTCTACAAGAAGCGCATCTTGCTGCACTGGTGAGTTGTATTGTTATAATATACCTTATTTTAAATACCATACGTATTAGTTTATAATGTTTATATAAATTAGGAAATGCTGTACATTATGTATAGCATTCCATTCGACAAGCAGTTTTAATAAACTGCTCAATAGCTGTCTTATTCCAGATCTGTAAAGAAAGGACATTTTGTAGATGGTAAACTAGAAACTTGCACAATTGGCTATAGATAGAGTAAAACTGATCCTTGTCTAGGAAACTTTGCTTGTCGTAAGCATGTGGGATCTGGTTATTTTGGTTCCTCTACTATTACGGCCAAAATACTGTTTTGAGGACATACATCCTGATATTGACCGACAGTTCAATTTTTAATTGTAATTTTCTCAATTACTGTTTTGAAGTATGAACACTGACATCATGCCGTCTACCTTGCTTTCTTCAAACCCAGTGAAATTTGATGAAGAGTGAAAGGAAAATAAAGAATGATTGTCTTAACAATTGAATTTTTGTTTTGGTTTCAGAAAGTTCTGGGAGAATCGCATGACTTGGAGAAATTCCCAGACCTCAAAGCTGAGCTTAGCATGAGACAGCCTCTGTGCCTTCTTGGAGACTAAGCAACACCCAGGCATGTTACTGTGTATTGTTGTTCCATGATAAATTATGGTAGGAGTTTTTCTTCTTTGAAAGCTTTTATCTGTTCGTGGTGTTGTTAGAATTGGTTTTCTTTAATTCTGTATTTTTCTGCTTCAAGGAAGTGCAATTTTCATATTTCATTCTTCAGTTGTTCAAATGTTCACTTCGCGTTTAGCAATGCTTTGTGAGTTTAGCACAAAACAATTGAACAGAATCCATATCCCTACTTTAACACTTATTGGTGATTGAAGTGCACGGCTATGGAGGAGGAAATTGAACTCTCGACTAGGAGTCGAGTCAAGGAAAGCACAGGCGAGGTCGAATTATATGAAGTGGCTGGGGAGTAGTGGCGATGAAGGGCCTTATGCGTATCTATATTTTCCACTTGTTGTAAGGAGATGCTCGCTAAAACAAAATCAATATTAAACCTACATTTTCGTTTGTATAAATCATGTTGGGAAGTGTACATAAACAATTTGAATTATAGATAGATAGATGCAAGTTGTAGATAAGTGGATAGTACTTGTGAATCTCACGAAATATGATAAAAAGTTGAATAGTGTTTATAAATCGTTTATAAACATGAGCCAAACATGTTATAGACATTGGTGCCTTCTAGATCAAGGATCAATTAATTCACTACTGAAAGGCGTGTAGAAAAAAAAAATGATGCAATTTCCAATTAACCGGCCACCGCCGCCGATGCCAATTGTTAACATTCATGATTTAGCTGTAGCAATCACTTGTAACATTCATTTTTACACCACACAACCACCTCAGACTGTATATTGGAAAGTCATCAAAAAGAAATAACCAATTATATCGTTAAAACCACCACCACTACTGTCGTCCCCTATTTCCATCAACACCATCTTCGCCATCTATTTTCTCCACCATTGCTACCATTAACAACTATTTGATCAGCCTTCACCACCAACAAAAATGGGGAATCCAAGACCCCGAATCAAACACAATCTTGACAACTTGTCTCAACCTCGACTACCAGCATCCAAAGGAAAACATTTAGATTTGAGCATTTGAAATAAAAATCGATGGAATCTATCACTGCTGCTCACAACCACCACCATTGGCCAAAGCTCCAAGATCGAATTTGATTTTGAGATCAAGATCCGATTTTAGATTTGAAATCGCATTTCATAGCGGCCGGCATCAATGGTCATGTGTGGTCAATGGTGGCAAGTGGCAGGTGGTGGTAAATGTCTGGTGGTATGTGGTCCGGCGGTGCTGGGCTGGTTCATGGTGTGTTTGAGTTTGTAATTGTGGTTGGTTGTGCGCTAAAATGGTAAAAATCCATTAACAAAAAATTGGTAATAGTAGAATTAGAATTTGAAAACGAAATGAAGTGTATGATAGTAGATGATTTTATGAAAAAGTTGACGGTATTTTAAACTGTCCAATGATAGTGCCACTTGATATCATGTCAACCTTGATGTTGGTGTAGCATGATTGAAATACAAAGATAAAGTTACTTTGTTCGAAACAGAAAGCTTGACATAATTGCATATGAAAGTAGATTGAATGAAAAAATTGACTACATTTTAAACTCTTCAATGATAAAATGTCACGTGACATTATGTCAAATTTTATTATTGAAAATTTAATCTACGTGACACAGTTATAGCCTTTTAGGGTTCCTCAAGATTGTTTGTGCCCTAGTCTGGCACGGACCAAATTTTCTAGCCCGTGAAAGCTTGAAAATCTCGAGGCCTTACATAACTTGTATTTGGTTCATGGTATCCTGAACTTATCATATTTCATTTTAATTTTAGTGCAAATTATGGTGGAACTTCTCTTTACTAATATATTATTCATAATTTTCTGAACTCTGTGTGTGTGTGTAATTTTTTTTTTTTTTATTGAATTCTACTAGAACAATTTGACTCCACATGTAGTCCATTTCAAGACGCTATTTAATTTTTTTGTGATTTTTTCAAAATCGTGTCGTCAAACGTCTCTAGGGAGGATCCTAGTATCTCTAGAACTGGGTCCATAATGTAATTAAATGAGGGTGTGCATAAAAAGAGTGGGCTTGAAGTAGATTTCTAAACTTGATTTTGGGTGATATAAGATGGATTGTAACTTCTAAATAAACTACAAGTTCTAGGCAAAATGGTGACAATATCTTACGTTAGCCTACATCGATCAGCGTCGAAGGGAGGGGGGCCCATTTAATTTTTATCTATGTGGCAGCCCAGCAGAAGAAAAAAATAATAATAATAAAAATTGCCCCTCCTGCTTCGCCCCTTACCTCAGCCCAACTCTAGACAAGAGCCAGTCTACAACACAGCTAGGCACAAGATCATGACGTGAATCTAGTTGCAACCGAAGTTAGATATTAATCATTTGGAAAGAAGGAATTGTGTGGGGTCCAATGGGCCGACAAGCCCACTTGTTTTAACTCACATGGGTTCACCTCCACCTAACGTCAATTTAATCCTATGCCAACATATAGAAAGGGACTTCGAACCATTCCAATTGGACATTACCTTGTGACCTTTTTTCTTTTCTAATCTCTCACCATTGCGTGCTTTTTACAAATCATTTCCTTCTAAATTTATTATTTCTTTAGTGATGCAATTTATTTATCTTGCCAATCCAATCGACATCGTTACCAGCAAAAACATCTTTAAACAAGATTGTAGCACCATGACAAATGTGTCCGAATAAGAAAAGCAAAGCAAATGAAGTATGTACAAAAGTCAACCAACCCCTTAAACTATTACAAAAAACACCATCGAATTTTAAAAATACAATTAGATGAGTACTATGCATTTGATTGCAAAATGTTTGCATCTACATAATTTTTTTATTTATTATTTTATTATCACAACCATCGAGTACTTGTAAATCCTCTAGTACATGTTTGATATATTAAAACTATTAGTATGTTTTTATTAAAGAAGAGACATGTGGTCTTATCACACGTCATAAAAAAATTTGATAGAAGCATATCATATCACTTTCTCATTTAATTATTTGATCATATTGTTGTGGCAAGTATGTTTGATTCTCTCTTTAGTTGCCGAATAAACGTATCATTTTGGCAAGAACTAACTAAAATCGAGAAGGTTGTTACTTTTTCTTGCAACTATGATAATGTAAATTAATAATAGAGGGAGGAAGCGACATATTTTGATATTTTAATTAAGGGTGATTAGTACAAAACGTCTTTTATCTTTCAATGTTATTATGCAAAACATCCCTACATTTTGCTTTTTTGACATTTTTACCTTTACTTTCACATTTCATTGTGAAAATCACCATTTCATCCAATTTTTAAATAAGAAAATGTAAATTGACAAATATGCCCTCTCATTTGAATAAAACAAAAGAAAGAAAATAAAAATTAAAGAATAAATTGCAATCATACTCCAAAACTTTTTAAATAAGTGCAAATGAGTTCAAATAAATTATTAAAAAGGTAATTAGCACAAAACGTCCATACCTTTCAATATTATGGAGCAAAACATCCATATCTTTCATTTTTTTTGACATTTAGCCATTATTTTCATATTTCATTACGAAAATCATAATTTTCTTTCATTTTCTCAATTAAAAGCTATAAAATGACAATTATACCCCCTTTCTAAATAAAAACAAAAAGGAAAGTAATTTTTTAATACTTTTTTTTTAATTATTTATTTGGAACTTTTTTGTACTTTTTTTTTGAAAAATTTGAGATGATTTCCGCAATGAAATGTGAAAGTTGAGGTGAAATGCCAAAAAATGAAAGGAATAGATGTTTTGCACAATAACATTGTACGGTAAGGCCATTCAGTGCTAATTACCATTTTAATTAATCCTCAATTTTTATTTATAGATGTAGTATTTCAATTTGCTTATATTATCTGTGCATCCAAATAAGGGATCATAAACAATGTAAATACAATGATGTTACGTGAAAAATGAGATTTTTTTTTTCCCAACGATAAATTTCTCTAAATATTTTTGGATAAAAACTGTACAAATCAAATCTAGAAATGACTAGTAAAGTAATTTCTTTTACTAAAGAATAAAATCTATCAATATATAATAATCCAATGAGATTATATTAGCTTAATGTTTTCGGGCTCATACAAGAATGAAAAATTGAAGATCTATTCGCAAGCATAGGAATACTTTGAATTTCTTTCCGATCTCTAGTAACTACTAACCACGAATAAAGATTCCTTGAATATTTACATAATAAGAACTATCAGTTATATATTCACTTTACTAATTTCATCCTAATGCTAAATGAATGAAAACACTTAGCCAGATTCTAAAAAGGAAATGAAGAGACAGACTGATGTATAAGAAAATGATTGAATATTTTTGTTTTAATTTTTCAAACTATTTAATTATATATTGATACATATCTCATTTAAATTTGAGTCTGAATGTGTAGTATGATTGTTGCTAACTTGAGGAAAATAGAAACAATTGGGGTACTCCTCCCCAGTTTTTTCTATTTACAGAAAACTTACAGAAATCTCACATGGAGGTGAGTTCCAGTGAATAAAATAATGCAAAAAATCCATCCACCCACCCTGCTGTTGTATTTGTTCTATATCTGTTCTGTATGTATGTACACACATCAATGTCCATTTGTATCCAGTGTTGCATTTTTATGACTGTTCATCTTTTATGGATTTTTTTTATTGTAACTGCCTAAATTGATTTGCCTAAACATATCTGTTAAAGACATAAAATACAATTTTCACTTCACACATCAAATCTTTATTGATCTTCTAGCTAACAAATAATAAAAGGGTCATGTTATTTGTACATGCCATTTTACACTTTGGGTTATCCGACCCCACCTCCTCCTCTCACATGAGGATCGGGCCCCCACTCGTGGCCCCCACGCGGGACCCGACCTCATGTGAGAGGAGGAGTGGAGTCGGGTAAACCAAAGTGTAAACAAACAAATACAAATAGCTTAATTCTCAAATAATAATCCAAATGCAAGTAAACAAAGTTGTTTGGATGTATTATTGATTTTTATGAATGATTACAAGAAATGGCCCACTGGATTTCCTTTCCTAACTAAACTAATTTAATATTAAATTATGAAAAAAATTTCACCTACTAACGCCAATTAAAACATAATTCCACTGTTACTGTACTTTTTATTTTATTCAAAAATACTATAACTAGTAGTAAAAGTGCTCTCTTTTTAATGTTTAAGAAACACCACTAATCCCTCGAATTACCAAACATATCCCACAAATCATGTACTTTGAAATTAAATCATATCTAAATAAATCTTCCACATCTAGCTAGCACGAGATTATACTCTAAAAACCCTAACCCCCTTAGGTCTTCTCTACTAATCATCTTTGCAAATAATCCCGACAATCTTACATCCAAATGAACGCTGCCAGAAATCGCTATTGTTGCGAGATTCTTATCAAGATTCACGTTGATCACAAAAACTTTAAAAGAGAGT